CTGCTGGGGAGGCAGGGGGAAGGCACGGTAATTCCTGCTGGGGAGGCGGACAAAGCCCGTCGGTCCCGACTCCCCGCACCCAGCAGAGCGGATTCCTCCCTGTGTCATCGGGCACCATCCCTGCGGCCGGAGCGGGGCGAGTCCATCCCACACCTCCCGCGGTTCTGAGGGAGCAGAGCCGCTCAGATCCAGAGGGACGAGCTGGCACCACCTCATTTATCCACACTAATTTATCAGTAAAACCTGAACGCCGGCGAAGAGCGACCTCCCCTCCCACCCTCCGCCCTCACAGCGCTCCCTCCCGCCGCCCGCTCCCCACACGCGGCTCCAGGGCCGCGTCCCTCCCATCCCCTGGTTTGTACAACACCGCCCCGGCCGGTGCCGGGTCACGGTGCCCCGGGACCCTCCGGAGCCGCCCGGGCTGGGGTCTGCCCTGCCCGCGGTCACTGCGGAGCCCCTCGTGCCGTGAGGGGACGGGCAGCGCCGGGCGGGTCCCGCGGAGGGGAGGGTGAGGCACCCGCCAGCCCCGCACTCACCGCGCTCGGCGCCGGCAGCTCCGCTGGGCCCGGCACGACGCGGAACTGGGCCCGGCTTAACCCGCCCCGTCCCGCCCTCACTGTCCGTCACTTCCCGAGCGCCGCGGCCCCGTCACGGCCGGGCGGGAGCGGCGGAGCCGAGCGGCCGGGCGCGGCGGGTGAGCAGGGATCCCCATGGCCCCTCATTGTCCCCTCATGACCCCCTCATGGTCCTCTCGTGGCCCCCTCATAGCCCCTCATAGCCTCTCGTGTTCCTCTCATAGCCCCTCATAGCCTCTCGTGTCCCTCTCATAGCCCCTCATGGCCCCCCGAGGGTCGGAGGGCCCGGCTCGTTCGGTCCCCGCTCGGTCTGTGCCCCCGTTCCCCCCTCAGGCCCCAACGGCCGCGGGCCTGGCGGGGCCGGAGCTGCCGAGGTGGGGCCGGAGGCGGCCCCGCTCCGCTCCCGGGGACCGGCACCGAACTGATTTTGGGGTGTTGGCGTAAAACCCCTCCAGCGTTTTACCGCTTCTCTGCGCATTTTTAGGTGTAGTTCTGGCGTGAGGAAAGGCGGAGAGAATTGGGGTTGTTCAGCCCGCAGAAGGCTGTGGGGTGACCTAATTGTGGCCTTCCAGTGCCTGAAGGGGACTTGGAGGAAAGGTGGAGCATGGGGGGATGGCTTCAAATTGAGAGAGAGCAGGGTTAGATGGGAGATTAGGATGAATTCTTCCCTGTGAGGATGATGAGGCCCTGGCACAGGCTGCCCAGAGAAGCTGTGGCTGCCCCATCCCTGCAAGTGTCCAAGGCCGGGTTGGAGCAACCTGGGATAGTGGGAAGTGTTCTTGCCCATGGCAGGGGTGGGACTGGGTGATCTTTAAGGTCCTTCCCAAACCAAACCATTCTGTGATTCTATGATAATTTGCCATTTGTTATTAGCTCTGTTCCTGAGCTGAAACCCGCCACCAGTGATGTGTCTGCAGTTAGAAACCTGTGGCCGGGGAAGGAGGAGACCACGCACCAGGAAAGGTGTCTCTGAACATCCTTTCCCAATGAGTGAAGCTGGAATTGCCCTTTTGTGGTTCTAACAAGTGTTGTTTGTCTCCAGATAACCAGCTGAGAGCTCCCCAAATGCTCAAGTAAATTCTCTCCTCCCCTTCCATAGCCAGTGTCCAGAATCCACCATGGACTATCTCACCAAGCTCCTCGGCGTCGTGGCTGGAGTCGCGTGTGGCCTGTGCCTAGGATGGGGCATCCGTGGGAAGCTCCTGAGGAAGCGCAGAGCGGGAACACCTACACCTCCCAACAGCCTGGAGGGCGAGGCGGACGTCATGGCAGAGTCCGGGGAGTTCAAGATGGTGCTGATCGTGCGCCAGGACCTCAAGATGGGCAAGGGCAAAGTGGCAGCCCAGTGTTCCCACGCTGCTGTCTCTGCCTACAAGCAAGTGGAGAGAAGGAATCCCGAGCTCCTGAAGCAGTGGGAGTACTGTGGGCAACCCAAAATAGTCCTCAAAGCTCCTGATGAGGAGACTCTGGCCCAGCTCCTGGCTGAGGCAAAGCGCCTGGGACTGACCGTGAGCTTGATCCAGGATGCTGGGCGTACTCAGATAGCTCCAGGCTCCAGGACCGTCCTCGGCATCGGACCAGGGCCAGCTGATGTCATAGATAAAGTCTCTGGTCACCTTAAACTCTTCTAAACTAGGACCAAAAAAGTTGATGTATGTCAGTACTGAAGGGTTACAATCCCAAGTTTGGGCATTTTTCCATATGCTCTCAGTTTAAATAAAATAAGCAAGTTTTGTAAGGTTTAAATTTGTAAATCATGAGTTTCTCTGGCTTGTGTGTTGTGTTCCAAAGGGGGGAAGAAAACACTTAGCTCAGGGGAGTTGAGGACAGCAGAGGTGGCAGAGTTTTACTGCCCTCAGGAAGGAACCCCCAATATTTACAACTTGTGCAGTGGGTTGAGGATTTTGTGTGGTGGGTGGTAGCAAAGTTCAAAAGAATTTGTCTCATGTGCTCAAAATGGCAAGGTTTTCCCTTTCTGCCTGTTTTTGAAGAGATAGATCCTTTAATTTGGAAAGGGTTGGTGGCTGAAGCAGTTAAAAATCACCCCAGATTGCTTGGGGGGAACTGCAGCCAACATCCTGCCCCAGTTCTGGGAGAGCAACTGATGCAATAACCTGTAAGTGGTGTGAGACTGACCGGTTAAACTGGGTTTGCAGCCCAGGCCTTAGGAGCCAGTAAATAGTTGTGGGGAGCAGCTGTAAGCTGAGCTCCCCTCTGGATGGGTCTGTGGCTCCTCCACCTGCAAAAATGTGCAGTTTAGCCAAGGTGGAGGGAGTTACCCTCACACAGACAGGTTGGCACACAGGGCCACACTTAAATCCTGTGTTACTTGGGGTTAAGGAAGGAGTTACAGATGTTACTGGGCAGTTCAGAGCACACTGATCACAGCTCAAGTAAATTCTACCTCTACAGCTCCGTTGCAGCTCTGATTGTAAATAGGCAAGTTCCCTGCACTTTTAGTAGGTGGAATTTCTGCAGGGCAGTTTTGTAACAAATCTGGTTTGTAAGAATTCTTTTGATCACCTTTTACACCTTCATGGCCATGTTTTCCAGCTGAGTACCAATGAAATAGGTTGTAAGAGAGGGAACAGAAGGATTTGTCTCCATCAGTCGTGTTTACAGACCCAGGGGGAATGTGAGAGGGGCTGAGTTTTTATACTGCACCTCTCAGGCATAATCCTTTCAGAGACACAACTGTGGAGTTCCCAGGAGCAAGGGAGAAGGAGATTTGGCCTCCGAGTTGGATCCTGGCACCAACTGTGGCCCCTGGTTGAGACAGGAGCTCTGGCAGCTCTCACAAACACAAACCTGGCCAGTGCTGTAACACTCATTACACTCAAATATGACAGTATTCATAGAGAAACATTTAAGTCAATTTTATTTGAAGCTAAATATGTTTAAGGCAATTTACATACCTAGAACATGATCTCAATTGAACTGGCACACCCTACCACAATCCTAATGTATCATCTGCTCAAATCTGCTGGAGTTGACCACAGTGCAGCCAACTGGTGAAAAGTGCTATTTTCTTCTCTCTGGCATCATCTTTCTATAGAAAAAGCATTACATATTTTCCTGTATTGCCCCCTCAGTGCAAGACCCCACTACTGGTCCCCATTGCTGCTCTTCTACTGGCCCCCTCAGACCCCTGCCTGCGTTGCCCCACACCAGCAGCACTGTAATACTTGGTTTGAGTTGGAAGGTCCTTTTTGAAGACAGTAAAGTGAAGCTACCACTGTGCAGCATGTCCACAGTCCAGTAATTTATTTTTAAATCGCGTAATTTCAAATTGCACAAACAAAACTGAACAGCAATATGCTTGAATTCTCTCTTCTGTACACTCAAAACAGTGATCTAAAACACCACAATATCCAACATACACAAACCTCAGGGCAGGGTTAGTAAATACACAGATTGGAATCATGGTGCTCTGTTCCTGAATGGAATGTCCCACAAAAGCACAGGATACAGCACAACATAAGGTCATCTGTTACATATGGAGTGAGCAAAAAGACACTAGCATTTTCTATATGCATAACTGGAAAAACCTGCATAGGTTAAGGGGAAAAAAAAAAAACAAAACCCAAAACTTTTTACTCATTTGAAGTCAGGCAAGGTTGTCTGTACGCATTGGAAATTCTTTTAGAGCTATGCAATCCAACCCAGGGAGGATATGCTGATTAGTGTTGTCTCTTGTCAGCAGTCTTGCAAGGTCAAATACAAGTATCTTGGCTTTAGCTTTCTCCAAATATACAGTGAGACTTAAATGCATTTAGAATAGACAGTACATACTGTAAAGCTGCTCACATACAATGAACTTAAGATTCAATATTAGAGTGTAACACTATAGAGTGCAAATCAGAATCTTCACAATAGACTTAATGGTATTAAGCAGTCCTGCAAAAGCCCACTTGAACAAAGTCGTTTTAAACTATTCCCCTTTTGAAAGTAAAAGTCTAAATGACATGGAATGTGGAAAAAAGATTTAAACAGAGGTGATTCAAATCGTTTGCGCTAGAAAAAACAGTCCTTCATGAAATAAAGGTTACAAGAACACGAGGCAGAACTCTTTGCTTTTCCCTGTTATGAGTTAAAGCGGGGAGGGACGGTGGAGTTTCAGTAAGAAAATACGCTGCTCCCAAGGGAGTTGTGCTGCAGCTCACATGCTGTACCCAAAGCCAGGCTGGGGCTGCCCGTAGGGAGGTGCAGTGTAGCCGTAGCCAAAAGGTGCTTGTGGAGGAACTGCGACACTGGGTCCCGCTGTCAGCATGAGCTGGGGCTGGCCTGCAACACACAAACGGCATCTTTAGTGCCCCTGCACTCAGCACAACTCCTGTAACTGCCCCGGGGGTATCTGTGTGTTTAACAGTCCCTGCCCAGCTGCTTTGGGGGCTGTAGGCCGGGGGGGGGTATTTCCCCACAGAACAGCAGGACAGAGTACGTGGCTAAAAATACTGCACTGGGAAAGTGTATGAAGAAACTCTCACTAGAACTAGTGGAATAACCTGGATACAAAGAAAATACCCATGTTGGACAAGAGCCAAATAATGCACTCGCTGGAAGGCTGGAATAGCACAGCTCCTGCACACCCTACCTTAATGAGCCAGGACAACCTTAAATCCTGCAAGCCCACAGTCCACCTCAGCAGCCACAGCATCAGAGTGGCACTTTATCTAATATTTTGGAACACGTTCCTTAAGACTTGATTTCACATGAAAAACATTCCAATTTCCAAGGATTTCCTTGGGAAAAACCAAGATTAGAGAAGTGTTGTTTTAGGAGCAAAATGTGTTATGGACAACACATGAACTAAAGCATTACCATAAACAATAGGTTGTGTTTCTGTAGCTTGCTCCTCTTCCTTTCTCAAAGACTCTGATGCATCCAGTTTGTCCACCTGGAATTGAGACCAACAATTAAAAAATCTCCTCTGAAACAGGTACTTACTTGTGGCAGAGAAGTGGAAAAGCCTTAGTGGTATGTTAACACCCATCCAGAAAAGGAGACCATTTACAAGTTAAGATCAATTCAAGTAGCAATGTTGGTACTGGTGCAGTCAAGATTCTGTTTCCTGAAAAAAGCCCTCCTTGAGGCATTTGTGTAACTGCTTTGAAAGCTCACTCCAGGCTGAAGCTTTGTACGAAAGGCTCCGTACGGGACTGGAGCTACTTGGACATCAGGAATTAGCTCATCAGGGTCGCTCCAACTACTTCAAACCAACAGCCTTTAGGATTTGAGCACAGTCTCAGTTGGAGACCTTTGGCATTGGAGCAGGAGAAGTTTCCCTGAAGACAGCACTGAGGTAAAATAATCTGATTTAGGCACAGCAGACTGCAATAGCATCCGACATGTCACTTGAGCCTCAAGATTTCACTTTCCAAACCCATTCACTCATGCAATTTAAGTTCAAATGCAGAGAATGCATGTGTATAAGACTTGCTTTTTCCACTCCAGAACTGTGTGGCAGTCAGCCTAAACCCACAGATACTCCAATTCTTCCAGCTTAACACACAGTAAGGACACAAGCCTGGCCAGCTCCAGTGCTGCACAGCGAGTGCACTCGTGCTCTCAGCCCACCCCTACAGAAAGGCAAGAGAAGAGACTTATTCTGCAGTGAAATATTGCTTGTTACTAAAACAGATCCAAGGGAACCCAGCATTTCTACAGTCTAAGGCAGGCCCTGAAACTAAAACCACAAAATGAGGTATTGATATTTTACCTGGGAGACAAGATTTAGGGTAAAGTCGAAGACAATCACGCCAATTACTTTTAAAGACAGTAAGACAACTCACAAACCAGATTAACCTTTCATTTCATTCGTGTCCTTAATAAAGGCATTTGAAGACAGGTTTCCTGCACTTACACAGGGTCAGTGTTACTTATTCAGCTGCACCAACACCCAGGAGTTGAACAGTTTCCAGTTTAACTGTGCTGCATTAACAACTCTCTGAGAGCTGTGACTCTTCCTCTCAGTTGAGTTACATGTGTTCCATAAGCCTGTCAACCCATAACCTCAAGCTGAGGCACAAACCCAGGAGGTGGCAGAAGTGCTGAGCTCAGTTCCCTCCCTGACTGGGCTTCCACGACCAGCCTGTTGGTTGCCTCACCCCAGTATCTGGTTTGCTGCTGCCAAAGTGCCCAGGATCATGTGCCAACGCTCCCAGACTCATTCCCAGAGCCTGTGCTGAGAACTGCACTGTTTTCAACTCAAACAGCAACACACTGAACACAGAAGCACAAGTTCAGAGATGCAAATCCAAGGAGAATGTGCAGAGGTTGCTACTAAGCAGAGGCATTTGGCTTACACACACTTGGAAAGCCTCCAGCCCAGGACATTCAATGCATTTTTGACCCAGTTTTGATGCCTCCCCTCAGAGCTCAACAAATCTTTATGGTCACAAGCGCGAGTTTGAAACCAGCCTGCAGGATGGTTCTTACACCACTTGCTCGAGCATCACCAGGTTCAGGGCCCTACACACTTGTAGCAAGATTGATTTCAAGGCTTTTCCACAGGGACTGCAAGAAGCTGCAGAGGAAAAGTAACATGCATTCAATGTTCTCGTGTCATGTGTGCATGAAAAAGAGGCAAGAGTACTGAAGCACGAGTGAGGGCTGAAGATGACTGCCAGACAGGCTCCCCCCAAAAAACCACAGCAGCCCACAGCAATGCCTTGGAGCTTAAGGAAGAGTGGGATGTAATTGCAATGACTGCTACACATGCTTAGGTTATGCAAACACTGCAGTTCAATTACCT